GTGTGATGTTTTTGAGGTCGACTTTAACATAAATACATATAGGAATGTGACCAATTCTGGTTCTTCTTGTACAGAATGGCTATTCATGTCAGATGAAAAAGGTTTTTTGCTTGTTTGTTTTGTTTTTGTTGAAATTATTATTATTATGTTCGCTGCTTTTGTTTGTCTTGTTTGTTGTTTTTCTGTGTTTTTTTTTCACAAACATTTTTAGAAATTGATTACGGAAAATTGAAAGAAAATGATCTAAAATGTACATAAACAGCAACAGCTAGTTAGAATATTCAGAAGTAATAATAATATTCATCTTTATGTCTGTAAGTCAATTACGTGATCAATAATCGGGCCACGAATATTTTTTCAAATACAGCACAGATTTATATTACTATTACTATTTATAGTTATTAAGATCCGTTAATACAGCAAGAATCCTACTTAGCTCTTGAAGCGACCTCGAAAATTAATTATTTATGTACGTTGGTAGAAATTTCAATCGAACTAAGATAAAAAAAAATATACATATACATACTAGTACCAAATTATTTCCTTTTTCCAGGATACGGTATTAGCCTAAACTTTTCTGAACTACGGGATTGTTTAGATCTCCTCGATGAGGACTCAGAGTTGATACAGGAAATTTGTGACCCTGAATCTGAAGTAGATCTTAACAGAAGAAACTACGTGAAAGTGAAATCAAAAGCTTCTGATAACGTTTTTAAAGTGCGGTTTACTTTAGTACCTACAAGAGGTACTGCACTTTGTTTCACTTTTTATTTTATGTTTACAATTATAGAGACAATGAAAAAAATATTTATTTTCCCGACAATACATTTTTACTTTAACAGAACAATCGAGAACAAGATATTTCACAAGATCACACATGTTGCTCATGTATATAAAGCTATATCTTATAACATATTTTTATGGAAATTATAAATTGTAAAATTATGTTGCTGTTGATTTTTGAAAGAGTTGTAACAAAGAATGTCTCTATTATTTAACAAACATGAATATTGTAGATAAAATGATACCTGCTGTTTTCAGTAGGAATTTAACCGTTTAACAAATACCGGTATACCGTTTATGTGATATCCGCTTTAATGAAAATATAAACTTTTTTCTTACACATATGAATTTTTTTCTTACAGGTATTTTAGAAGTTCCAAAAAGAATTTTGCATCACATAAATAACAGTTTAAACTCTTTCAATTCGACATTCAAATGTTATTTAATGTACACATTATTTTCCTGATGATCAAAGCTGTAAAACATGTTCGGACTTATATGTAAGATTTTAAGCTATTTAAATCATGATGATTCTGTGTTACTTTTATTAAGTCCATAATGAGGTACTGATTACTATTTCTTTCCTTTGAAGATGACCATGACTTTTCTATAACAAGTGTTGAACTTCGGGAAGGACATTCTAATAATGAAGGGAAAGTTTTCATCACTCGCTCCGATGGACGATCCGGATATCTTTGCGGATATATCAATTTTGGAGCATCAAATGTTATCTGTCGGATGGCTGGATTTGGGTTCGACACCTTAAGTTTTTTTTGTTCTAAAATTAATATATATTGTTATTTATTGATATTTCATTTCCTTGTTCAAATACCATAGAGACTGTTGTTTAAAGTATGCATTTTCATCCATAATGAAAATGTAGAAACTATTGTAAATTATATTCAAGTAGAATCAAAAACTTACAAGCGTTTATCTAAAAGGAACAGAGTTCTGAAATAGATATTACTGCTGGTCTATATGTAAATTATTCTTTTAGCCGTTAGACATAACTGTTGATCTATATGTATTTTTTTCTTATAGCCGTAACAAATTAATTTTTCAGGTCCCCTTCTCTTCACTATCAAACAAGATTTGGTTCTACAGACGATATAAATACAAAGGATATAATAATGTATGAATTAGAATGTGACGGACAAGAGGAGAGTATAATGAAATGTAAACGTCAGGAATGGATGGATGTGTGCCAAGGCGACTTATGCTCGTGCTACGATAAAGACGACTTCAGGGGCGTAAGATGTCGTATGTATAAAGATAATTTCTTCTCTTCTATAAATAAAGTACTTTCAATTGCAATAGACAAGAATATTTTACGGGCAAATTTGAAATAAAATTTTAAATGCTATGTGAATTATTTATGATTATAACCGCTAATAGTTTAATTTCACACGAGTTATGAAATTTTATGTGCTAACATGGAATGTTCAGCAATTCACCATAAAGGTCAGCCTAACGACATATTCGTTCAATCGGATAATACGCAGTCGTAAGTACAATTAGTCCTGTTTTTTCTGATTTGTCATAAATTTCTTTGACACATTTCAAATTTATAAAGAATGTCCAACAAGAGCAAAATAACTAGAGGTAGATGTGATATAACGAAAGTTTGTATTACTGAATTGTTTCAGCATTGAAGACGGCACAATGTACTTTTGTTGGTTATGACTGTGGCTATGAATATAACAATTCACTGGTAAAACATTTCAGATCTCAGAAGTTTGGTACGTAGTTAGCATTGATATTTTATCTGATTTTAATCTGTATAAATCCCTTTTTATCGCATTTTTCGAACTTTGAGGATTTGTTTATTACACTGAAACATGAAAACAAATATAATAACATATTTTTTGAAAATAAAAGTAAGGTAACAAAGATGAGACCTTTGTAAATTTCTTAAATTATAATGATGAATTACAACTTGGTGCTTCTTTGAAAAGTCGACGCTTCTTTTTAACTACGGTTAAATTATAGTTAACGGTCAATGAAATCATGATTTCTTAGTTTAGTTTGAAGATATTTTACAGTTTGGTGAGCGACTGTTTCATAATGTTGTGACATTAAATTTTACTGACATTATCGTAGGTTATGGTCTGCACATGACTGGGTCGTCAAACAGTGTCACAGAAATTCGCTCTCCTCCCTTTACATACACATCAGACTATGTGGTAACCTTTGGCTATTCATTTGAAGGAGTTCCGGGAGAGAATTTGGCATTGGCATTGACAGTTAGTTCGCATTTCTATGATTTCAGTAAATTGGCTTCCGTTTGAACCTTTACAAGTCATAGTGTTTTTTTTTTCATTTCTCTTTTTAATAAACATTTTCTGAACAATTATATATAACATATAAGTATGATACGTTTTATTTAAGGCATATAACTTACCTTAAATGTAAGTATAACTTTTGGCCTTACTCATTTGTTTGGGTTTTATAATTGTGCTCAAAATATAATAATATCTAAAGAAACATGATATGCTTATATTCATATGATCGTACATTGGTTATTACTTTTTCTGGGTTTCATATTGTGACGACATGGAACGTGTTTTTATTTTTGGTTATGATACAAAAAGAAAGAGTATCAAAACACTTGACAAACTGATTTATTCTCATACAAATCTAAAAGCCTTGAGTTTTGATCCTCTTTCTGTTACTTAAATTTAAGAAAACCTGCAGGTCGTAAGAAATTAGTTTTGTAGAACAATTCTCTGACCAGTTTACATAATAGTATTGACATTAACATTGTAGAATATGTAAGGTTCAATATCAAGGTTCAAGGAATTTAACTGAAGTTTGCTGATGCGAGAAAATCGTCTCAATAACATTTTTGTTCAACATTAGAATCTGTAACTTGTTTTAATTATTTTTGGTATCTTATCAAGTAAATTATTTGTTAAATTTATTATTAAGTGTTTGTATTTCATAAAAATAATTCAATATATTTCTTTTTAGGCTATAAATGAATCTGGATCTGAAGATCTTCAGATATGGCAAAAACCACATTATTCTCTCGATGGTCGCTACATCGCATGTGTGGACCTACCAGAAAGTTTAGTGGGGCAAGTAGTTCAGATGATATTTACAATGAATATGCGACAAGCATATGTGTCAAACAATGAACATACAATAGGTTTACATAATTTGACAATAAGGGCGGACAGATGTCCAGGTATGTTAAATTAGCTGCATGATGTTTAATATTATATTTGTATATTTATCATATTTACACTTGATACTGGTGTGAAGTACTTAAATGTGATAAAAAGAGCATAGAAACACGAGGCTAACTGATTTGTACGAGGTAGTTTAGCACCGAGTTTAAATCAGATTGCCAACTGTGTTGCCGTTCTTTCTTGTTTGTATCATAGGCAAAAATAACACGTTCCCTGTTTTCTCAATATGAAACCCTAGAAAAAAAGTAACCAATGAACGAGCTTTCTCAATGATATTTCTGTCGATATCCTTTCCTCTGCCGTCAAAATAAGTAAACCTAGTTAACATAGTGTTGTTTCATAGTTTGAAGACCTTTCAGTTAAAAATGTTTCATAGTAATTGTATACCCATACATGCACATTGCGTTAACTGGAGGACAGGTATTAGTTACCCGCACTGCAGAGCATGCTCGTTTGATTGGCTCATTTTTTCTGGCGGTTACTTATTGTGACGACAGGGAAAGGGATAACAATAGAAAAATCATATGCAGAAGCTCGTTCATTATAATTAATTGGTTACTTTTTTCTGGGGTTTCATACTGTGATGACAAGGAACGTATTTGTATCTGTGTCCATGATACAAAAGAGAAAGAACATAAAAACACTCGGCAATCTGATTTATACGTGGCGGAGGGGGGGGCACAGACAAATTAGATTTGTCTCGTGTTTCGATGCTCTATTACATAATCATCAGTTGTATACATTTTGTATTACACTATTGTAGATTAAATTGTCAAAATTATTGAGAAATTAATGTCCGTAGTACCTCAAAAAGGTTCTCCCTCGTCAACTCGTCAAAAATAGTGCAAGATGGAGTGTATCGGGCTATTCCAAACTTCTTCCACGTCACTTAAAGTTAAATCTAAACAATATCTTGAATATTTGCTGTGAGCTTTTGTATTTTATATTTGTATGCACAAAAAGTTTGTATACGAAATGTAAAATTATAATTGATTGTATGATTTGTAATGTGTTTGATGCAGTTAGAAATATAATCAAATAGATCTAACTTTCGTACCTAGATATAATGATAGGATATACCTTATTTCCTGTATGGATTTTTATTATGCATTGTAAAGTATAATAATGAATTCTATTGGACAAGTAAACAGCAGTTAAACCTATAATGAACGAGGTGCTAGCCGAGTCCTGTACAGGTTTTGAAATTGTATACGAGTCCAATAGAATCAATAGTGGTACACTCTTTATATCACACCACTAAATTTGTTACTCTTGATATTCTAACATCTCGGGGAGATTAAGGGTTTGATATAAACTTTTTGGACACTTTAAATGAAAACAAGGTTCGACTAGGAGAACAATATTGATTTGATATGGATTTTTGGACTGATGTAATTGTTGAAAGTAACAAAGTGGGATTTGTACTCGTAAATGTTAGTAAATGTAGTGTACATCTAATATTTGACATATGTTTTGTAAAGAACTATTTTTTTCTCTTCAAAGTAAATTTTACTTATGTCATCTAATGTGCATCTTTTATTATAACAGAGAATATGAGTTTCCAAATTTAGAGTTTAGTTAGGTTTGGTAGTATTTCTATTCTGGTATATTCAACGACTAAATTATATCATTAATTATTAGTGTTTTGTGTAGTTGATAAAAAAAGTAGATGAAACTTCATCTTCTTTTACTTGCAGAAGAATTCCCCAAAAATAAATGCACGTTTACAAATATTAATATCTGCCAGAAATTATTATCAAACATCTGTACAAATGACAGTTTTGGAGCATCCGTTTGGAATATCAAAGACAGTAAGTTTTGATTTCTGCTTAAAATGAGATATTTCTAAATTTCGTACATACTCGTATCGTGGTATAGACCGCCTCCGTGGTCGATGGGTTAGAGTCGATGACTTCTAATCCAGTTACCTCTCTGGCGTGGGTTCGATCCCCGGGAGATGCTTTGGTAGTTTAGCGCGGAGAAAGGTAGTCTAGTACTGGTGTTACTCTCCAAGAACGATGGTTAGGAAACTACCCGCCTATATGACTGAAATACTGTTGGAAAAAGGCGTAAAATGAAACAAACAAACAAACAGTATCGTGGTATCTTATCTGTTATACATATTTGCACTACACTGCTGTTTTATATTAATCTCTACATCCTAGCAAATAGTTATTCTTGCATTTTGTTAAACAATTCATTAATTATGGAATGCTGTATTTTAATTGTACGTGTAAGTATGTTTAAAGAAAGGTATAATCGATTGAAGACATTGAAGAAGTTTTGATATTGAAACTTTTTGTAAATAACAGTGAAAACGCCACGAAAATGTTTTGATTCATGTCTGTCAAAAATAAATACAATTATTTGCAGACCGTTTAGAAGGCAACTCCGCATACGCTATGCAAGATGAGGATTATTCTGTTACATTCACGTCTTCAACATTAGACACAGGCTCGAATCTGCGGTTCAAATATGATCTAAATGGCGTCGGCGTAAACGGAAATGATCTGAATTTCAGAGTATGACTTCAAAACATATTATGATAGAAAATAACTGTTGTACATAGCATCGTATCTATTCATAATTCTATTATTCATAAATTTCATTGGCGATTTTTACACTCGAGATTTTGTAAGTCCTTTTTGAACAGTAGTTTTTGTTTCAAAACATTCTAAATGAGTGTGTTTATGATGTTTAAGCCAATTTTTATTTCAAAAACTGTTCAACCACATTACTGTCAAGATGTACAAATAGATCTATATCATCTTGTCATGCACCTGAATTATGCATATTATTTCTTATATTCAAGGTTGACTTCAAGGCCGGTTCAAATGACGTAAAAACAATATATTCGAACAGCGATTTCAAACAGAAAGAAGAAATATGTCTCCATTTACCAACAAATGTAGACGAGCGTTTTCGAGTTGATTTTGTTCTTAGAAAATCTTCCTCAGAGGGCCTTATTTCACTCGACGACATTGAATTGAGTGAAGACCTTTGTCCACGTATGTATTTTAAATTGTTTGAAGATTCATGTAAGTCATAAATATATGATTACCTCTGTCATCATAAGAACATTGTTACGCATGTGCGGCCAAAGTCAAATCCTGTCCGAACAACCCTAGAATTCGTAGGTTTTAATATTGACTACGTATTCAAAGATTTCGGGAAAAAAAACTTGGGAAAACATGAATATGCTTGCAGATAAGTGCATGATAGTCAGTGTTTATTATTTTGATTATGTATCATCTGCTAACGCCGTTTATCCATTTTTAAAAGATAAGGTTATATATATTGGATGAACCTATGCCAGGGTGTGGAAACAATTTATTTGGTGTATTAATTACCTTCACCTGCCACTGTTATTATTTATTTATCTATTACATCATCAATCACCGATAATTATTTATATCATAAATTTCTACAGATCCTATATCTTGTGACTTCGAAGAGAGAAGAATGTGTGACTACGACATAGATAACCAGGGTGCTCTTTCCTGGCATTGGGTTTCCGTAAATGATGATCACACGTTTGGAGGTCAATCTATAGGTATATTACTAATACATATACATGTATGACAATTTATTTTTCTGTAAATATGGGTAAATTGATAAGTTCCTTCACTGATTGTTCCCTTTAGTATTTTATGAAGAGGGACAATTATTGAATTTTTGAAAATAGACTTGACGAGGCATGTCCCTATTGCTAGTTTTTCTGGATCTTTACAAGACGTCTATGTTGAGCTACTTAATGGCATTGATATAGAGCGTGTACTTTATCCTTTATGGAAAATTAATTTAGTACTGACATAATTAAAATTTTGATATATTTGGAATACAATGTTTAAATTTGAAAATAGCTCTGAAGGGTGCTTGTGCGTTCAATAAAAAGCAATACTATTGAATCGAAGGACGTTTTGTTCATATTTGGCACGTGTGTTTTGGTTTCAGAACATAGAGAAAAACACTTTTAGATACTGTACCATAAGACCTGCTTTATACTAGATAAATATGTCTTTCTATTTTTTATTAGGACATGTGGTACGGATAGATGCAGCTCGAATCCTTCCAGCAGTTTTTTCAACGCCAGTTGCCCAACTACGTTCTTCCGACACCAAATACAAATGTCTCGCATTCTTTTTGAAAAGCCATTATTATACTGAGCGCGCACATAGACTCGATGTCAGTGTGTTCTATCCAAACACTAATGAAACATTCACAAGAGAAATAGCGGTGCTAATTCCTTTTGTTTGGCAAGAGATTAATCTGAAAGTGGATCCAGACAAAGTGGAAGCCCAGTTTTCTTTCAAAGCAACGTATCTGCATGGACTTCCTTTGATAAACTCTTTAGTTGTCGACGACATTGAGTTACGTGCTACACAATGTAAAGGTACGGTTTTTTTTTGTTTTTATGTGTGCGTGTGTGCGTGCGTGTGTTTGTGTGTTTTGGTTTGGTTTTGTATGTTACTTTGAAATTAAATAATGAATAATTAATTGAAATATATTTGTATGTCTAAGAACTATATTTTAAAAATAAACAGCTTTAAAATGAATAAGTTCTGATCTTGATAATTTCCTGATTAGATGTGAAGGGGCTTGCCATCTAAGGAAGCAGATGTACGTTAGAAATTTGTATAGTTGAATATTCTTTTTCAATTAAAGATGGCTTACAAGATCTTGAAGAGTGTGACTTCAGTAACCCAATACTTTGTGCATTTGAGATCAACTGTACAATCAACTCTGGATACAGCTGGCGTATCTACTCGGCAGAAACAAATAGATATATCACATCGCCCGGCATTAATATTTCGCCCAGCATTAACATTACCGACGGTAATATTTGATGCATTAAGAATTAAGTTTTCTTCATTTAAATTATCATAGCGACGCTATTTTTCTTTTTTTGTCTTATGATGTAAAACAAAATTAATTCATTTACATTTCTTATCTATCTTCACATCCATTTATCATTGGAGTTTGATGTTAGTAGACCTTAAATATTTTGATGTTAGTAGACCTTAAATGATGACACTAATGTTCGGAAAAAAGTTTTGCTTTTTTTAAATAATATATGGAATAATTAAATCTCAATTTAAAAAAGCTGTATGTATTTGTGTGCGCAAACAACAGATATTCTCAACTTTTGTTACAGCATATTTTATTTAATGCAATTACTATTTATATTATATATCTCTGTGGCAATTCTTACTTCAAAACAAGGCATTTTTCACAATATTTTGAAGTTAGCGGGCGAAGAAACACAAAAAGCTTTTTTTGCTTATGCAGGGCCTTGTATGTTTTTGGACAGTTCGTTTGGGGCAAAAGGACATGAATCATTTCTATGGTTCAAGGTTGATTTGAATGACGTAAAGGATGCTTATTATACATTTTCATACTACATGAGCGGTGATGGGACCGGGATGCTACGTACATTCTACAGTCTGGCTGACACCAACTCTTACAGTGATGTATCAGTTGTAGATTTCAAAGTTTCTGGTATTTGGTTGCAGTCGGAATGTTATGAGCTTCCACGCTCTTTTCAAGGAGAAATTTTCTTTCACGGTATTAGAGGTGATTCAGCAGTTAGCGATATTGCCATCGACAATGTCAAGATAACAAGAAGAAGCTGTGAAGGTATGAAATTGAAATAATATGAGCAGCCACATTGTCTTTTGTCAATTTACAAGTGTCATATTTACATGTATATATTTTCATAATTCCAAGAAACTTTACAGAAGCATTGAATTTATTACAGAAGTAGTGTCTTTTTTCGTATTGTAACTTATATCAAGAAGTAGTGACTTTTTTCGTATTGTAACGTATCTCCGAGCGGGCTTTTAATTATAAGACAATTTAACTGAGAAGTCCTTTTGAACAACTACTATTTACGGTTTATCATATATACATATAATTTTTCTTATGGTTACCTTACCATTGATTGATTGGACAAAGAAATAATTACTGATTAAATGGTGTACTTGTAAATGAATCAAAGAAACAAACTATATAATAAAAACACTTGACGAAACGCACACAATATTTTACAACTTATAGTCATCTAACATCATATAGAAGCTGGGCTACTATATCTATTAGTGATCGTTCAGCTCACAAAAATAATATATACAACTGATGTACATCCAATATCAAAGAAACTGAGCTTCTATGATAATTAGGACGTATCTCTATAGTCGCCGTTCAGCTACTAGAGCAATTATATCCTATTTTTGTATTCCCAAAGAAGTCGAGCTTTTAAGGGATTTACTGATAGGACTAGTATTCCCACGGTTTATCCTCCGGGATATCTTGAAGTGTTACCTTCGCTTTCCAAGCCGAAAAGTGATTTCTAATGTATGTAAGTACTTTATGCTTAATGAGGATCAATCCGTCCGTAAGGGCACAAAATGTAGCTTCCGCTGTCGAGTACGGACCCCGTACATGTCACAAGTCATGCCTTTAATTTTAAAGCACAAAGTGGTGATATTTTACCTCCATGCCATTTCCACGAAGTATTAGCCAAAGATATGAATTTTGAGCCAAAAGTATGTCACTGTTCGACTGTCAATGAGAACCTAAAGGTACAGTAACCTGAGACAATACGATAGGGTAGCCCTGATAAGGGCTGTTGGTGCCAGCAAAAGGCCTGCCGTTCAAACCGTCTAACCGTGTTAAGGGTTCACGCACCCTAGCCCACCATCCTCGTCGACCTAAAGCCTACTTTGTAGGACTACTCCCCTCGGATGTAATCAGGACATCGGCAGCTGGTTCGCAGCAAAAGTTCCGATCTTTTTTCGCCATCCCCAGTCTTTAAATCTTCTGCCGATGCCCTGTGTCTTCTCAACGACGTACACGTACCGAGGGGAAGAGGGATGAGTGATTTCTAATGCGACCTCTTCTGCCTATATATGTATAAGAGAAGCGCCGCCAACCTGATTACTTCCCCTAACTCAGAGTTAAATAATCACCTTCCCTAAGTACAAGATAATCTCTAAACTTGACGATATACCGAAATTAAATTTACCTTTCTAAATAAAGCATACTAATAGACTCTTTCACGACTGGTATAACATAGTTATAAACAAATATGACGTTACAACATTTAAATATACCTAACTTCTCAAAATAATCACAGACACTTGGGGTGTGGAGCTCAAATCGCCTTAAAAATCCAAATAAAACGCATATTTGTCAATCCCAGCACATGAACTGATCATATATATGAAATAAACTTAATATTAGCCGTTTTGAGAAAAAATACATATTTCAACGTAGAATGTAGATAATGTAGAATGTACGGTATGCATTCCGTGGGTAACCGACGATGATATTTTAGTGGCACTTGAAGATTGACCGTATGTATACAGTATGTATTGCAAGTGTCGATACATTATGGAAAGTTTTAGAAAAGTACAAGGTTGAGTATATTGATGATATAAAAATGTTAGATATGGAAATGACTATTATACATATTAGTTAAAGATAAAGAACCAAAGCAAGATGTTAAAATTGTTTTATTGCAGTTCCATCGGTTGCTTGTGGGTTCAATGAAAGCACTTGCGGTTATAAACCTGTAAATTCTGTGTGGACTTTAGAAGGTAATAGTTATAAAACTTTCATTGACATTATTAAAATATAACCAATTATGTTTATAAATGTAAACTATAAATAAGTCGCGGTTATGACGTCAATTTTCGCTAAATTTAATATCTTACATTCATCTTCCCCTATATTATAATAACTTAGCAGCAAGCACTTATTGTAAAAGCTGTGAGATTTACTCGCTCACCGCATCGCCTTCGTCGCATCTTTGAAGGCCTTAGCTAATTCTTGGAGTACAGAAGAATGGTGTCAAATATTTCTGTTTGCGGCCGTTGTTCGTCATATTATCCTTTAAAACACTGCAGTTATTTTCAAAATTTACAGTTTGATAAAATGACCAGGTTGTTGAAAACAATATACAAAGACTTCTCTTTTATTTCTGGCTTCGCTTTTTTCTTGTGTGTGTGTGTATATATATATATTTTTTATTTTTTGGGTTATTTAATACTTTGTTTGAAATGATATATCTGACTGACAAAATCAAAAGATAATTTCATGAATAAATGTTGAATTCTGCTCTGAAGTTGGTGCATGGGGATATGGTCGATAGTTTGAATTTACCACTACCGTCCATGAACATGTTCTATCAAACCGAGCCTGCAACAGTTTCAGTTTTGCTGGTTATTTTGCGTTCCTTAGAGATTCAGTGTAACTCTGTTTCTCCGTATAGTTAGTAGATGATGATATCATTTTGCTATTCATATATTTTTAAGATGGCTATATACTAACCAAACGTCAAGGTGCGTTGACCTTACCTATACATACAATAAATGACCAGGAACATGTCTGTATAGCGTTTGCTTTTGAAAGTGATAACACAAATGCATTGATAATAGAGACTGCAATAGGATCAGAGCATACAAATTATACATACACAGTGTACTCGGATGGGAAGCAACGTGGCCAATTAGACTATCGACCGGAAATGGACGAGTTAGTATATTTCACATTATCATTGTTTGTGCAAAATTAAAGATAAGCAATGAACCGCATTAAAGCGAACTCGGATATAGCGCACGATCAGACATCGAAAAAGGTTCCTGTTTTCCACAGTTTAATTATCGTTTGATCTGAAAATTTCTTTTGATCTAAACCTACATCAAATGGAACATTAACCTCGAAAAAAGAAATTGCAGTCCCATCTTGTCAATAAACCTCAATGGAGTCCCGTTAACAACAAAAGCTGAAAACACCAAAAAAAAATGAATTGAACACGGATATAAATATTCACTCATATTCAGCCTACTACTAAGTGAATTCCACAACTTTTACTTGCAATTATTTATTTGAGGTGTAACACAAAAGATATGATTTATATATGTAAAATTCTCAAAACATTTACAAAAAAATGATAAAATAAATAAAAAGATAAAAATAAATTTACATGTTAATACCATTTTAACAGTTATATCTTTTTATTAGTAGGATACAAACTGACTTTCAATTTTTAAATTGGTATTGTTTTCAGGGTGAAGTTCGTTGTTCCTGGTGACTATTTGATGAAGATTGATCACGTGACTACTACATCCGGCCAGTGCGAGGAATTAAGTAAATAAACAAAAAAGTCTTTCTCTTCTTTTACATAAATATACCACTCAGTTATTGAAATATATATCAGTAATATGTATTGTAATTTTGCATGAACTATTTGACATTTTCGAGCAACATATACGTACATATATCATTTCAGATTGTGAAAATGAAGAATTTGTGTGCCCCCTACAATGCATTCCAGCCGAATTAAAGTGCGATCGGAAAATTGACTGTGACCAAGGACAGGATGAAGAGGATTGTGGTACGAACAATTGGTGTATTTTAATTAATTTTTCAAAGACGGTTCTGGTCTTTGTGAATGATATATACCAATCAAAGTAGAAGTAGATATATAACAATAGTGAATACCACCAGAGAAATAAGTTATTCAATGTGCGAAAAGTATATTTTACGCTTATTTTACGAGTAACGTTACAATAACACCATGTCCATATAATCAAAAATACACGTAAAAGGAATGAAATAAGTTAGTCAGAAAAAAAAGCCGTTGTTACCGTGAACTCACTGCTTAGTACTGGTTGGTTCCAGGAACAGAATTCGAGACTCACAGCTTACGTTTATTAGAGTTAATTAGCAAAAACTAAAAAGTAAAAAAAAAGTTAATTACCTTTAATCTTATATTTTGAATATATTGAATGTAAACAGTTGTATTTTAAAGGTTTTGGTATTGCTTGCAAGTTTGACAGTAGTAATGACTGTGGTTATGCAGCAATGTCTGGATCTAAAACAAAATGGTTGGTGAAAGAATCACATTCGTTTATTCTGAACGGAACGGAAATGACTGGTATGCGTTTGTTTAAATTATATTTTGATTAAAACGAATGTTAAAATAAAGGTTTATTTAATAAGCAATAAACATTTTACTTTATCGTTTTACAGTTGATCTAAGTTGATTAATGATTGAAGAATGGTTGATACATACTATTTAATCTGCATTACTTGCGTAGTTTATCTGGATAAAATTAACATTTTAATATCTTATCGGCTATATTGATGGAAATATTATTAGAGATTATTAGAGATAGTACATGATTTTCAGACTTGAATATGTCAATAATAGAAGCTGTTAATGGAATAAAAAGTCGGTGATATTTTGCCCTTGCGATAGCTTTAAAGAGATGGAAATTGTTGTAAAGGGCATGAATAAAATTCAATCTTATCGACATGTGTTTTATTTTAAATTGTTATGCAGTATATTACTTAATCGCAGGTAAAGAAGGAAATACATGTATATTTTGGTGCACAATATTCGAAAAGAATATATAATATACAATTCCAAACAAAAATGAAGAGTAAACTTATCTTATTTCATAGTGAATGGTGGAATGTTGTATACAAATCTGAAAGGGCAGCCTCTTTTGTCTTCATCGTCTGCTAGGTCAACGTGGGAAAGAGTGAGGGGACCATCTTGTATCAGATTCAAGTACCTTGGCACGGTTCCATTCCTAGAAGTCACTATAACTGACAAGGATAGTGGCAAACAAACGACTTGGAATGATACAATGGCTGATATGACGCCATCGATATGGAGGATCGGACAATTAGAAATAGAGAAAGAGGTTTGTCATCAAACATATTGGCAAGAAATGGCAAAGTGTGATTGTTTTTTTTTTTGTGCTTTATGTAGAGAATAAAGTATCAACATATTTAGCCAGGAAAAAAATGAAGAATGTTTTTACTATGTTGTTTTCTTGAGATAATTATAATGTGTTTATTCGTACAATTGAGTCAAAGATAATACACTGTGTTTGATATTGTATTGTAATGTGCAATTATAAACAAAATATGATAACACAACTTCAAAGCTGAACTATACTCTTATGTTCAGAGAAAACAGTTACTAGTATGCCAAGCAAATGTTAAATCATTCTTACAATGCTTTACTGTTTACATGATTAATGCTAAAGAATAAAGTTTTTCCAAAATAGAAAAAAAAACGTTAAAAAATTATAGACTTACATACAGTCAGAAGTTAATTAAACCGTTCGGAGGAATGATTTTGAAAATATATTTCTAAACGTATTTTGCAGCAAAATGATACTCAAATTTTTGTAATTTTGAGAATAATGTGTAATTTGTTAGATGTATGAAAAATATGTTGTTTTTTTTAATAGAAAGTTTTTTCTATGATTCTTCATTGTCTTTGAAAGTATCATCCTTGTGTTTCAGATGATTTCAGATACAGGCGCATGGATTATGCTTAACTTCACGGCATCTTTGTTATTTACTGATCATACTGTAAAAATTGATGAAGATCCATTTATTGCAATCGATAATATTGAGCTGTTAGATGGAAGTTGCAAAAATCAAAGCCCGCCATGTATGTTCTTTATGTTGGAAAAAATCTTGCGTTTTCTGTAGATATAAGCTTTCCGTGAATCATAGACTAGACTTTAGTAGAAACATTTAATGAGATAACTGGCACATTAATCAGTTGATGATTCCATAAGAAAATTAATTTTGTTTATGTTTAAAGCGTGCTAATGTCTGTAAATGTTACAGTAAAAGAAGTTGATATCTAGAGAGGTTTTACGATTGGTTAAATTGGATATATCAGTTACATAGGCACTCTAAATTCACGAAATTTACGTTTAAAGTCTTCACGAATGTGCAGATTGTCTGTCTAGATTGACTACATTATAACAAGTTGAACATGCGTTTAATAACCAAGATTAATAAATTAAATAGATGATAATTTAATTCATTTTCTTTATTTTCATGCATCATTTACATTTAGCTTTCTGCATACGTTTTAAAGATGATAACAATTGTTGACAAGGTTGATCAATTTACTGAATATCATGACACACACATTATTTTTCTACCATAACTAGCTTGCCCTGACAATGCGCCTCTACATTGCGATGGTTATAGCCATTGTTACACAACTGAGTTACATTGTGACAGAAAGACGTATTGCCCTACTGGTTCAGATGAAAGCTTTAACACATGTGCTTCAGGTAAACTTTAAAAACGGTGCTAGGGGGTTAGATAATATACTACTTACTCAATCAAATGATGCGGCAATTTTCAGCCTCTTTTTTTAGGCCTGGAGTAATCATTAATCGCAATCATCAAGTTTTTAATCGATTGCATGATTACACTGTTATAATCATGTTATTGATTACCTTGTCCAAAATTGATTACATTAATTGTTATCAATTAATTACAGCTTAAAATCAGTCAAGAATTATAATTACAATTTTATTGACATTGATTACTTTCAGGTTTAACAGGAACCTATTTAAATTCAAAGGATGTCTTTATTTCACATGTTACAGTTTACCTTTTGTTTTACAGTTTTTGTATATCAAAATATTGATAAATCCATTTACTTTTGTATATCAAAATATTGATAAATCCATTTATATCTTTTTGTTCTGATTAAGTTTGTTCATTATCTTCAATCTGAAAACCTTGCTTCAATACAAAATTATCGATAGTTGACGTCAAAAAATTGAATTTTCCCAATATTGAAATGTCTTGTAAGAGAAGGAAAATACGATTTGTCTTTGTATAATCAGATGTTATATTCATGCATAACTCGATAGACATTTCTCACACTTCGGTTGTAACAAAAACGAGTGCAATTGTTTGCAATGCTTATGTTTGTTTTGTTTTTTATTGTTTCGTGTGTTTATTTTCTTCTTCAGAGTTCAAAATAGAGTGTGATTTTGAACGTGATACACTATGTGGCTATGAAATAACCTCAAATAGATTCAAGAAATGGAAGAGGGTTAGAGGGAACTGGTACCAAATACCGCCTTTTGATCATACCAAACAGGATGAAAGTGGTATATAGCTTGATTCATTATTAAAAACAAGAGTTATTTTGTTATTTACTCCATAGTTGTGAAAATGATAATAATAAAATATTATAAATCATTTAGATCTATATCAAGATATGAGTGGTCTTTGACTTACTTTTTATCACTAAATAAATGTTTTATTTTCTGTCTGTAAGATATCGTCTATAGGGGCATTGTCTGCTGTAGTTATATTATGCATCCACAGAACGTGGGCAGCTTTCTGTTTGCAAGTTACAAAAGTCTGTAAACAACAACGAATATGTATCGCATCTTTTTTTCTGCATCATACAATTTAAACATTTCGGTTTTGTTTTTTGTTTTTTGTTGGTTTTTTTAAGTCCACGCTTTTACATTATGAACACATATACATTATCGTTATTACATGTATTATTTTTATCATAATACTTAATGCTACATCATCATCATCATCATCATCATCATCATCATCATCACTATTATTATTATTATTATCATTATTATTATTATCTGGGACAGGAAGACACACATTTTTAGTCCCAGCTATTATAAATCATTCTATGAATATATTTGATGTATTATAAAACAGTTGTCTTTTTTAATGCCTGTTTCTTTAACTGATGTTTTTCGTCTGCTTTTTCAGGCCACTTCCTGTTATTTGTGAACTGGGATAATAACCACGTGAGATATGACATTACAACAGCTATATCACCAGCCCAGATATTTCCAGAAAACGGATGTGTTACCTTCTGGTACTATCTTAACAGCACAGCTGTACAACCGACAGGATTGTCGGCCCAAATCATGGTATCCCTTAACTATGTTGATACAGCGAAAACAGAATTTGTTTGGTTAGTACTGTAACTTTAAATTTTCATTTATTAGTATAATACATTTGTTACATACATTATGTAAGGTGCCAAGTAAGAAAATAAATACCAATTATAAAGATATGAAAAGTACCAAAAGGAATATTGTTCGGAAATAATTAATTGTCGAGCTTCATCATAACTATGAGTCTTGTAAAAGAGTTTTCATTGTATCTTCTGGCCTAACAATGCGACAGTATTCATAATTTTCTATATGTATTTTTTCATAGGTTAATTACTACTTCAAAGATGTGTTTGAACAGTAACAACAGTGTCGGATACCCACGGTTGATTAACATATTATTATTCAACAGTGGATATCCTACGATGCAACCTTATAATGCATATTTTTATTTTTCATATCTTGTTGTTATATCCATGTAATTGTTTAATGTATATTGTAAAATCTTTTACATTTATAAACATTTTGTATTTTGTAAAGAACATTGTACTGTTTTACCATAGAAAGTTCTACACAACCATCCTGTATATTTTCTCTAGGTACGACTTAGTGAATAGACCTATTGACGGTTGGATATTTGGTAACTTTGAGGTTCCAGAAAACCAGAAACTATCCGTCAACTTTACTGCAGTTACAAGCGAAACATTCCTGGCATATCCAGGGGTGGTTGGACTTGATGATGTATCCTTCACTACGGGAAAATGCCCTGTTTCCCAAGGTAAACGTTGTATGCTTCTCTGAAGGAGCTTTTTATGTCGGTATTTAGATGTGTCATATTTAGTAAAGGCTACAATATACATGTTCATAGTTTGAATTTTTAATGTGGAAATGAATGTATTTCAGGAATAAAACTGTACATGAGTAAACTTTTTGTTTGTTTCTAGTTTTTGTGTTTTTTATATATTTTTTTCATTGAAGATATATCAAATGTAAAACACACTACATGTATTTCAGAATGTTCAAATAGAATGTTTTCATGCAAAGAGTCTGGTACGTGTATACCAAAGACATTTATATGTGATGGCAAGTACGACTGTCGCGATCAGTCAGACGAACACAACTGTGACGGTTAGATGTTCTTTTACGTGATAGATTTCCTTCTCGAATCGTTTATGAAGCAAAACTTTGTGAAATTTTCAAGCAATTAGAGTTTACTGTTTGCTTAGCTTTTGTGTTTCGGTCCATGTTTGTCAGTTGTTTTTATTAGCAATTGATGCCTAGTTTATATATACAGAACACTAAATATTAACGACAAAATTGTATACCTTTGTTCAATAACTTGTTTGTGTCTTGTGCTGACCGTATATGTACATGTACCTTAAATGACCTTTTAAGTACCAAGTAAAGCCGAATGGAAATCACACTCTGTCTTTATGGCTCTTAATTTTAATATTTTTTGGACTACATTTGTCATTCTTTCATTCCATTTTTGATAACACTAAACTCACTTTTTCAAGTGTTTGTTTCGACTGACTGACTGAATAAATAAATAAATACAATAAATAAATACAATAAATAAATAAATACAATAAATAAATAAATAAATACAATAAATAAATACATAAATAAATAAATAAATTATCCTTTTTCAGATCGGCCAAATGGTACATTTCAACTTGTTGGTGGAGATGGTACATACGGACAGCTACAGTACTATCTTGGTGGATCATGGCGACAAGTTTGCTTCCCTCCAGATTCATCTCGCGCAGATGACTTCAGTTACATAGCATCTCAGAGGGTCTGCGAGCAGTTGGGCTTCTAGTATGTTATTTTCTATATATGTGCAGAACATTTAACAATCACCCAATGAGTCACGTCTATAGCTGAATGTACATTTATTATTACATTTAAGAACATTTTTCTTACTGTAAATTTAGCATCTTGTCAATAATTGAGTAAGTGTATTTATGGATATTATTGTATTTATTAATAAACAGACCGTTTAAATGTTTGTGCGACGATACTAAAATTGGAATATAAAGCGGTCTTCAGCTTTTCTAAAGGTTATTTAATTATATTATTTTAAGATAAATCGCTTCATACAATTATAGAATCAAAAGAATTAAGGTATAAAATGAATTTGTTAGCGATAAAATACATTAAGAATAAGGAAACCCCTCGATACCTCTAATCTATCATGTAAATACATGTAAATAAATAAGCGAACGGTTCGTTTCCAAATCTAACGAACGTCACTGAGCGCTATAAATTGCTCTCGGGCCGCTGTTTTGGAGAAGGCTTGGCAGTGATATGATGCACTTTTCCTAGGTAATATTATTGAAACTCTTACTTTGAAACAGCACAGAATTGTTTTTCCAACACAAAACACTGAAGGCCACTTTAAGTTACCTTTCCTCCCAGCAAAATTCATCTTGATAAATATTTATATCTGTTGCTGATATATAACATTATTTACAATTCAGTGGCAAATCAGAGGCGTTTGAGTACAAGTTACTGCACACAATAACGAAACCTGTCTCTCTCACGTGCGATGACGAGAAGTGTTCGCATACCTTGTGTTCCGTATCGTATACAGCTACATTTGCCGGTATTAAGTGCTCAAATTCAGGTAGATCTATATTGTACATATTCAAAATTTAGATACTTTGAATCAATATAATTGTCTTTTTTGTTGGGTTTTAACGTTCCAGCTTTACTGGTGGTGGAAGATATCCGGTTACTTCAGGTACGAACGGGCACTGACGTTCCGTAAGCTAGCTGGATAGCTTCCTTATATGAAAAAAAATCCAAAGTCCCTGTCGGGATTCGGACCCACAGCGGTGAGGGGCAAGTGGTTTAACGACTTAACCACTCGGCTACGGATGAAACAAACACTTTTCCAGATTTTGAAAACATATTTTTCTAGACTAAAAGGAATTGAATGATGTATCACATTAAAAAATATCCTAATAACTTCAGATTTTTAAGCTGATAAATACAGTAATGTTTTATAAAGGCAACTGCCATTATTAGCAAAAAAAGAACGCACAAAGATTCCGAAAAAAAAAACACTGAAAAAAAACAGTAAAAAATGAATGCCCAATGAAACAAAAATCTTTGAAATCTTAAATGTGTTATAGAAAGTTATCTTAACCACAAATTTTGACTAGTTTTACACTTGCTACAATTACACATTCCTTTTTTAAACGATAAGTTAACATTATATATTTTTTACTTGTTTGACTCACTTTTCTATTTCATATTCTAGCTTGTTTTTCCGGAACAAAGCTTTGTCCGGGAACAGCCGATGTTTGCAGACCTTCCAGACATTTTTGTAATGGAAATCCAGACTGCCCTAACAATACTGATGAAACCGAATGTTGTATGTATATTTTACTTATTGCTTTGTAATCGAAGGATGTAATTACCAGTATCATGAAGTATATTTTAAATATCTCGACAAATGTTGTACTTCGATTTAACATGTTGGGAAATAAGATTTTGTCGAAATAAACCCTTTCATGTGATTTAACATTGTTTTATTGGGTTTAACATCACATCGACACAGTATATGTCATATGGCGACGTTCCAGCTTTACTGGTGGAGGAAGACCTAAGGTGCCCTTCTGTGCATTATTTCAGGCACGAACTGGTACCTGAGTAAAACCACCGACGTTCCGTAAGCTAGCTGGATAGTTTCCTCACATGAAAGAATTCAAAGTCCCTGTCGGGATTCGAAAGCAGTGAGGGGCAATTGGTTTGAAGTCAACGACCTTAACCACTCGGCCAAGGACACCCCATGTGACTTAACATAATTTTGTGTTATTGTAACTTATTTTCCGCTTGTGTTATACCGTAAATAGTTTTACATAAAATGGCTCCTATTCTGTATACAGGTTGTCACGAAGGGGATGAACATTGTACTAGAACTCCTGATGAATCTAAAGATAAAGTTTGCGGTATGTTTTATGATGTATATAATACATTACATGTATTTGTTAAGCTTTATGAAATAATACAGATTTACAGCATTAAATCTAAATTAATGTTAATGGGGATATCTTTAAATGATGTCATTAATGTATGTCAATTATTTTCTCTGGACATTTAAAATGACATCATTGAATAGTCTAGTTTTAGTAGAGAACTTTTTGGACTGAACTTGTTGTGTGTGTGTGTGTTTTTTTCCTATTATATGGATTTTTTATCTTGAAAATACAGAGTCAATATCATTAACAGTTTGTCATTTATGAAATAAAGAAACCATAATCATTCAGCCTAACAATTACATGATCATTGATACAAAAAAATACTTACAACCTCAAAATGAATTACAATTAGATAATTACAGTAACGTTTTATACCAAAGGTTTTAAGAATATTGCCATTATATAAACGGTTTTTTGATTGTATTGTAACAAGAAATTTATCAGCACAAGAATACATTATAATAAAATAAGTATAAGTACATTAGCTATTTTTATTCTTTAGAGATTTTGGATTCTAAAATGACTGACGTTCATTAAGAAATATATAATTAAAGTCAGCGTTTGTCAAGAATGTTTTGATTTTACAGTGACGTGCAAAGAGAAAGGCATGTTTGAATGCCAGAGTCATCAATGTATTAGCAAAGATAAAGTTTGTGACGGGAATAAAGACTGCGTTGATGGCACGGATGAGTACAGATGTAGTACGTGAAACTTATGCACTACTATCAATTAAGTATTGTAATGATATCTCTGTCACTAGTGGTACATACATTACTTTGTAAAAGTATAAATCATGCCAGCCTAACAACACCATTTTCTACAATGATGATCCGTATTGAGAACGTTTTTGTCGCATTCAAACGTTGACCCAAATTGTGCTTAATTTTAGTGTGAACCTTTTGAGGGGGCAACCTTTGTGTAAAATTTATCTGTTTCCTTTTGTATGATACACTCGATTTTGTCACTTATAAAATAAAGTTAAATTTATTACTTCAGAAAAAATTAAATATGTTGACCTATTTTGACAGTTGATGTGAAAGAAGATGCTGTGACTGTTTATTACAACTCAGAGATGATTCCAGTTTGTTATAATAATATTGGCAGGCTCGAAGCAGAGGCACTGTGCTACTCGTCCGGAAGAGGGTACGTCAATTTGATGGTGGTTATTTTATTTGCTTTCAGATCCTGGATTGCTTTTCAATGTGCTTAGTTAAACTGTCGAAATATTTATTTAAAAAAAAACAACAACAGTTTTGACATTTGAATGCCTTTCGAATACAAAGGATGTTTATTAGTGACTGTAAATAAATGATGGAGATATACCTAGAACAAAGTTAGCTCAAGAATGTATGCCTTCTTACAAATGATTGTTTGTTATATTTACTTGTTACATGGACGATTATAATTTACATGACTGTATTGTTACACTCAACTGATTGCTATAACATGGACCTTTTTTGTTGCATGTATTTGTTGTTGTTGAATTACCTTTTTATTAAGTAGACAAGTTTGCTACATTGACTGAGTTGTTTGATATCCATTTTTGTTACATAGTCTTTTTGTTACAGATTACTGGTGAATCGTGGAATTCAGCGTGGTTACACAGAAGTGAATGGTGTTATGCTTATAAAAAGTAACTTGGCTGGAACTATTTTACCTGGCTTAGATTTTGGTCAAAGAAGGTATGTAATCAGAGAATTTTTCTGTGTTTTTATTATTAACTTAAAATCGATCTAATATCGTTCAACAGTGTAATGTTGCTTTTTATATGCCCACATATTTTATGCTGTAAAATTTATTCTGAGTAGAATAATTTCAGTTTTTTTTCAATATTTTATAGTTAGTATGTTATATGCTAAAATTGACTTTGATCGTTGAATTCTGCTTGTTTTTATTTATGTCTAATTTAAATGAATTGATTAAAATGAAACAATACTGTTTGACTTGACTTGATCGAGATTACACCATTTAGCATCAGACTTCTAATTTAATGTTTTTCTTTTTCTCTTTTGACAGATATTGTTATCCACTGATATTAAAATGCAAGCTTCCAGGTAAGAATTAACTTATTATGAACATTTATATGCATTCTGATACTAAAAGTCCTCGAGATATATAATACTTACGCATGTAAGTAGAACACAATTATAGATAGTACTATTTAGATGTCATGGGTATATAACTCTTTCAATAGTAGATTTTTTACATTGATATTTTATCTTTACCAACTTGAACAGGATTTCTTTTTATATTAAGTCTTTTTCTTGGACAATAATTGAACAGAAAATTTATTCTGAAATTTAGAGCTCAGAGGCTAAAATTTAGGTCTTTCAAGAGCGTACTTGACTTGCATGCATGTACGATTTTGAAATTTAAAAAGTGCATGTATGTTTAACCACAACATGTTTACATGTTTTATGAAATCACCAATTTTTTTGGTCATTTATCTATTTATTTAGTATTGCTAGATAAGGTGTTTTAATTTTTTCACAATTTATTGTTTTATCTGCTTTGGCTCTGTTGTACAGATTGCGGGACTTCGTCAATAGTTGACAATTTCATATCACCATTAATACCACACGGAAATGAGGCTGTTTTAGGAGCTCGGCCTTATCATGGAAGTCTGCGTAAAAATAATAAACTACACTGTGGCTGCACGGTCATCGGTGGGCAGTGGGTGTTAACTGCTGCACATTGTGTGGAGTACAGGTAAATAGTTACATTTTATCTTTTTTTCTTGTTCGTTTTCCATCTCGCAACTGTAATGAAACCATGGTTGTAAGTATGCAATTAACACTCTTTCTAATTTTAGATTTTGAGTAATTAATTCTTTTTCCGATGTCATTAGTTTATTCATATGTATAAATGTGTTTTGCGTGTCCCTTTACTTGCAAATAGATGTTCGTTTCATAAGTCAGCATATGTTGTCATGTTTAACTTGCACCGTCTTTGAAAAGGCTTATTTAAGTCGAGTCTGAAACATTTTTTTTTATTTTGTCGTTTTGGGCGTTCTTTAGGGATTCCGTTTTTTCTTCTTTTTTTCTACCGGTATAGCATTCAGATCATTTAAGTGACGAATAATTATCACGAACAATTGAGCAACTCCGTTGTTGATTCTATATTAAATTTCAAGTAATATTTATGTTTTATTAGAAGGCTATTGTAACAGATTATAATTTCTCATTTAAGCGTGGCTTACGCCTACACAGTTATACTTGGGTCAATAGAATCTGACAAGGTTGGGGAACATGGCCAGCAGTTCAGCGTAATAGATATAGTCAGTCATCCACAGTATAATGCAGACGATGTAACCAAAGGATATGACGTCGCTTTGTTAAAACTTGCGCATGCACCGAACTTTGATAATTACACGAGGCCTGCTTGCCTAGGCACGAAGACCAGCTGGCAGTACATACTTGACCTAGGCGACAAAGCTGAATGTTATATTACAGGGTTTGGAGCTAACGAGCTTTATTTAGCAAGAGGTTAGTCAGTTTTAGTACTAAGCTCTTTTAGAAAGATCTTTTTTCTGTTTTACTTGTCAAAACATCTTCATATCCAAAGTTTGAGGTAAAGAATATTTATCTGAAACATGCATAGATTAGCGATGTAACAAGAAAAATGTTGAATTTATGTTATCTCAAGCATGGACTTTTCTTAAAGTTTGAAATAATGTTCTCAAATTGTCAGCAATGTGTGATAGAGACGAAAGGTTCTACAGATCACCTAAGCGTATATAAAATATTGTAAAAGTCCTTGAGCCCTGTTGAATCCGCGCTCATTTACCATTCATCAGACACCTAAGCAAAATTATAACGATGAGTACACACTAGTTAACTACATAAGCACTCATGTTCGCTTTGCTACCTGAAAAGCTTAAAATCTAATACAATTTAACACTTATGTGCAGAATGTAAAATGCATTTCAGAATATACAAGGCAAATTTTAATTTGGATGCAACTGGTTTGTTGAAAACTAAATTATCAAACAAGTTTGAGCGGTGCTTCATAATAACCTATTCAGTGCATTTATTTCGTTTTTGTTTTAGATGACAATTCAGATAAAGTGTTGGATGAATCTCGAGTTGGAATCATAGACAGAAAAACATGCCAAGAAAAATACACTGTAACAGGCTCTGGAAATGTATCACATGACGGAATATGTGTAGAAAACAGAACACCTTACCAGGCAGCATGTTATGTAAGTTTACGTCTTAAGAATCTGTCCAAATATTTAAGGGGGAAAGGGTGTATACACAGATTTTATTTATGACATGAGTCGTCTCAATGGTATTTTATTTTGGTTCTTAGGGATCATTGATTCCATTATTTTAATACTGAGAATTATATATTGCTTAAAGAGGTGCAAGCGGGCGTGAGAGATGGTGCCATAAACTCTCATCAACATAGTATTCGATTTTTAACTTTTTGTTTTTCATGAAGCAAAGCGGCAGGGCCGGCAAAATACAATATGACAAAGTCCATTTTTCTGAATTATTTCATAACTTGATTGTATAATATATTCATAAAGTAAATAAAATTTAGGCAAATTTTCACTTGTCCCTACAGGCTGTGGAACAACCTGGTCAACACGGACAATTTATTTTGCCGCCCCTGCCCAGGCATTGAATTTAAACTTTTCCAAATGTCTTATTTTCGTGTGATTTGTGCTATAAAACAAAGAAGATAACGATACGAAACGTTTAAGAGAAGTTGTTCACCGACATATATAAATGAATACTCCTTATTATAATTAGAAGGAGGCCTAACTTTTTTGTAGATAATTATAACTCACTAATGAATGACATAACTGTTGCCTAATTGAACAACTGTAAAATTTATTATTTTTTTAATATTTTGCCAAATTTAATACGGTATTTAAAAATAAATAAAGAATACTTCACATGGTCAAAGTTATTAAGATTAGCTGATAAATAAATTTGTATTGCAGGGAGATAGCGGTGGACCTTTAGTTTGCAGAAACGAAATAGGTAAACTCAACGACTTGTAATGTATTGTGGAAGTGTAAATCACAATGTCATTTGTCATTCATACTAATTTACATTCTGATTATATTTTATACATATTTACAATGACTGTTAAATTCCTACAAATATAAAACAACTGTTTCTTTGTTACAAAAATAGTAGATACATTCTTATAAGACTTGCTCTTGGGGATCACCGTTTTAGTGTGTATAGGATAACATCAACAGATATTCAGTGTTGTAGGGCAGCTGTAAAATTTGCCAGTGTTCTTTTATTGTTTTGTCCTTTTTGAGGCCTGAATTATTTTTTTTTCAACTACACCATTGTTTTTGTTTATCTGTTTACATTGCTTTCGAAGGATTTCCTCTTTGCAGATTGTTTTTTATGCTTGCAAACGTTGTAATTGTTGGACTTCTACTTAAGTTCTTATATGTAATATCATTTTAGGGAAATTTTACTTTTGTGTCCATCAAAGTAAAATATACCAATTCAATATGTGTATTTGATTTTCTTGCGATTTTAGGGCGGTGGGAACTATTTGGCGATTTAAGCTATGGATCATATGACTGTACATATGATACCCCTTCCGTCTATTTTGCTGTGACGTCACAAAGAGAATGGATAAAGAGTGTAACAGGTATGATCGAGTGGAACATACACAGTCTTAGCAAAGATTGTGTTACATTTTTGTATATCATATTCAATAAATTTTTAATATTGTCAAGGTAATTGGATGTCTGCTTGAAGTGACGCTTAGATGTCATTAATGTCAAATGATTTACTTAAAAATATCTTTATGACTTTATACGTACATGCTATGATGAGATTCTAATCTATTTGCTGAGTACTGTAGTATTTCATTTCCCTTATGGCGGAGGGGTGAGGTATCAGGATTGCTGCGTTATCATAAGAGTCGACTAAATGGGTTCAAATTAACGGAATTTATACATCTCTTGGCTTCAGCAGGTGATTTGGTTTGACCCTTGGTGATGCATTAAGTTTGTAGAACCCGAGGTTAGCCAAAATCATATTTCCTCTTTCGAAGCCATACGACCTTAATTGTGTTGGTGTTCCATAAAAAACCAAACAAAAAACTCGACTATATATGGTATGTTCTGTCTGAACGACAAACTTTTCAAATGCTGGAATGTTGTAAACAACGTTACAGAGTGGTATAGCGAACGACTATTTTCATCAATCTAAAAATACATGATATGGCGTTAATCAAAAGAGTTTTTAAATAGTGCATATATATTACACAGTACCCCTTTCATACTGGTTTTCTTTTAAAATAAGATTGTTCAAACGAGGCACGGTAGGTGGACACATGTATATGTAGTTTTATTTTACAAATCTAGCATAAACATCTGTTTAGATTTTTACATTGAAATCTATATTACAGGACTTCAATTTCCAGATGACTATGGGCCAGTGTATGACAGCGATGATGTTCCATAGTTAATATGCAACACCTCTTGATATGGACTATTTATTGATACTTCAGGGGCAATAAATTGTGAAACATTTAAAAAATATCAGTATGATGGTTAATGCATGCAGACATATATAGTTTTCAAAGCATCCCCTTAATTGCTGTACCTAAGATCTTTCTCTATCAAGTTGGATGCAAAAACTTGGAAATATTGAAAAAGAATTGCAATTTTATGACGAATGTTTCTTGGATAGTGTTTTAACACTACTAGATCTATATAATTATGTGTATGTAAAAATTTAAAAAACTCACAATATGTGGACAATATATGGAATCAAGAATTATATATACTCATTTATTGTAATGTAGTACACAGTTTTCCATTGGTCAGAATGGCATAATATAAATTGTGCATGCCATTCTTTTTATTTCATTAAACTGGCATGCCTCTACATGAGTAAATTGAAATACTTGACAGTTGTTTTTTGTTTGTTTTTTTCCACTCATTACACCATTTTTTCAATTATTCATAAAAATTTTTATTAAATATAGAAGGTTTTTCTCTTTTACATCATACTTGTAATTGTATTTTAAGTTTGAAAATGTGTGAAGGAAATATCCCTATCATTCGACATTAATTGTTTATAACAAAAGAATTTAGGCAAATTAATTTAGCCATATACATTTTTTTCTATTATGTGTACTTAAAAACAATTTTTTTTATTAATATATCCACTGACTATTTATAAATCCATGGCAATTGTGCTTTTGTAAAATAGATAAGATGCTTGTGTTTGACCTTGCTTTAAATGTTGCTAATTTCAATTTGCCAATATGTTACACACAACCTGAAATAGTGTGGCGATAAGAAAAAATGTGCAATTTGTTGTATATGTTATTAGAAATTTGTGTGCTTAAATATGTTTATATGTTGTTCAAAACAATGTATTGCAATTATCTATTTTTAAAACTTACAGTGTGATTTTTTATACAGATTGATTTTTTTAATGTTGTCTTATACAATTTATGCCATGTTCTTATATGTTTCATGTATATTATTTTTTTCTTAGAGATTTTTCATCCCTTATTTGTTCAAGATTTGATTAATGAAATGTCATTTTATTTTAATACTTGTGTATAGAATTCATTTAATAAATACAGTTTTATAAAATCTTGTTTACTTATACCTTTTTCAACCGACCCCACACATTTTTTTCTGCGGCAACCAGAAGGTTGGTCACAAAATGCTTCGGTTATTTATTTTTATTTTTATCCATTGGCCGGGACAACAAACAAATCAGAATGTTCAATTTCAAATTATCTTTCCATCCCGGATTGTATTTCAAACCTGGTATGATATCCTTGGTGGATATATTTATTTGTCACCATCTAACATTTAGCAGACAAAAAGTTGAAAGAAAGTTTTTTTATCAACCATTTTATAGTAAAGACCAACAAAGAAGAGCAACGTTCACGGAATGCAGTCCACGCATCATCTTGTCGCACAGGGCGTCAGTCAAAAAACAATACAGATTGATATTGGAGAAAACCCGCCTTAAATATTGACGAGGCGTACTGGAAGAAACGCGGAGGAGCATCTAGAAGCAAAGGCAATACTGCGGAATCTAAACCGGTTATATGTGCACCAAACCTCACTTCTAACTCTATTCATATAAGACTAGACAATGTAAATAAAAATTAAGTTTCCATAATAACGAAAACGTTTATCTCACACATATTTATTTATTTTTCCAATTTGCATTTCAAAATCTGTATTCACACCCATATTTATAACAGTATAAAGTAAGTAGTTACTTTTCACAATACATTGTGAACACAGGAACAGGAACATCACAAGTTTTACGATATGTGAATCTTTAAACATATTTCAGATCAATTGGTCAACACCAGCTTCTTACTTAAGGGTTATATAAGGTATGTGTAACCTCAACTGGATATATAAATCTATTAGTACAAAGTATCTGGAGGCCTTTATTTTACAAATAAAATTTGAATTGAATTGGTAATAAAAATCTGAATTGTCTCAAAGAGCTATATTAATTCTGTTTCAGTCGTCTTATTGATTCAGTATCTGGCTAATCCTGGAAGTACATATAAATGCCATTTTTTTTAAAGAAATAAAAATACAATACTTATACTATTTCACACAAGTGTAGGATTTATATATTTTCTTCTTTTTAAATTAAAATGATAAACGTTTATTTTGTATTTTTCATCACTTCAGCGGCAATAACTTGTGAAACATAGAAAAAAATCCTTATGATTGTTAATACATGCAGACATATCTATTTTTAGTTTTCAAAGCGTCCCCTTGAGTGCTCTACCTAAGCTCTTTCAAATAATTTGCAATAACTGAGAAGTATTGAAAAAGAATTGCATATAGCAACAATATAGTCTGATCAACTATATAATAGGCTATATCAATTGCTTAATACGTAAGACATTTGTTTAACTTTATAACTATACTTTATAACACAGGAACTTGGGATGTGGAGCTCAAAATGCATTTAAATTCCAAATAAAATGTATATTTGTCAATTCCAGCACGTACATCTAAAATATATCATATATATCTAAAAAAAACAACTTAATATCAGCCGTTTTGAAAAAGTTCATATTTCAACGTCTGTAATAATATTAGAGACGTTGAAATATGAATACCCCGTGCTGTTTCAGTTATTTACCTTTCTATCCATCATCTGTAACACATACCTATAGTCCTTATGTCACTTCAGTATAGATAAAATGTGAACAATTTTATATGAGTGCATGTACATCCCCAAACTCCTCACAGTGATTACGTCCCTTGGCAGAATTGTAATCTAATCCTGCTGTAAGGGGAGATCACTGCGTAGGTTTCAGAGACTGGTACATCCCTGCACCTACTATAACATATTGATCAGTGTTATCAATCATATGATAGAACAGAAATGTAAGAAGTGTCTCTAAATAGATTCATATTCCATATAATCATGTTTGAAAGGACTCAAGAGACACTTGTAATTATTATTATGTTTATGCTCAATAAATTATTAACGTCAAGACCGTTTCGTTTCTTTTCGGGAATTAAAAACTCTTCAGTCTGGAGGAAAGTAATGCTACAATATGGCCGCCTCTCTTGAAGAAATTTTGTCTGGACTTTTAGTTGCGGATAACTCAGTTATTCAGCAGGTAATTTAAGGGTTATTGTTACCATTCCGTAGAATTTTGATAGCACTGATACAAAATAAAAACAAAAAAGACTTTCAAGGGATAGTCCAAAAGAATTTCGACTTTCTTTGACGACACGTGAAAGATGATTCATACAAAACCGTGAAAACGCGGGAAATAAGTTCAATTTTATACATTTCTCATTACGGTTATATTTGATGTTATTATCGAAGGAACATAATGATGGTCCACACACTTAAAATATAATATCTCTACATCATTCGATTTTTTTTCAGTATCTCGGGGTTCCCTCTGGGTCAAAATTAGTTTGCGCCACCAAATTCGCCAATCAGAAAAAGTTGCGGTATGCCTAAAATACGAAAGTGAGATTTTTGACGAAAGTGAGCGAAAGTGAGCGAAAGTGACTTTTAAAATTTGAATTGTACCGTTTAAGGTGACAACGGAGTCAATTATCACTGAAAATACCTAAAATGAGATTTTTGCTAAGTAGATTTATCAACCTTTTCTGAACACATTCATGATTTAAATTTGGAAGCAGTTAGTCCAAAAAATGTGTTTTTAAACGATTTAAAACGGTACCTATACTATTTGTATCTGCTATTCGCGTAACCTGTCGATTATCGATAACGCTCCGCCCCCTGTTGAGGCATCAATGAGGGAAATCGGTAGTTCCATATATCCGTGAATTACAGGTCCATACTGGTCCATACTTCTCGTAATACATGTATCGTTCATCTACCGTACATCTTTTATGAATATCTCAACATTTAGCCTTTTTTATAAATTAAGAAATTGTCGGCCAATGTACGTAACATAATGTATGAAACATAAATAATTAAGCATAGCGGCAAATCGCACGCACGACCACGGGGTTGATTAAAAATGTAGTTGCTAAAATATCCATAATGTGTGAAAATAATTTGTCTATCCCGTTAATCTGATATATATAACATTGAGTTGATAGACTTTTGTACGGATTCAAGGGCTTACTTTACATTCAACCTCGTTTTCTAACAATGTCAAGTAAAACAACAACAGACGACATTTTTTATGTGAACGCTTATATGACTTGTGGTAAGGTGTCCCTGACAAATTTCTAAACCATTTTAGATTGTCTAAGGATGATTATTTATCTATGAATAAAAAAAGATATTAAAATATATTCTCAGTGAAAATAAATTGTCCGCCAGTAAATCCGACACAGTACTAATAAATCTGGGACAAAGTATGAAATTTATTGTCTATCCCGGTAGAAACTGGATCTCTATGCCGTGCATAGATGATATTCATGATAATAGAAGTCAAGAAGGCCACATCATAATGATCGAATAATGCCTTTTATTTCTATTAAAATATGTGAAGCATTATCAATTTGGTGGAAAAAATATATACTATCCCGTTCTTATTTGTACATCTACCATGGACTTTAAAAAACTGTCAGAAGCTCAGTTTTTTGTTATTTTATTTTATATTTTAACGGAATTTCATACACGAATACACAGGCAGAGTGACACTGGTATAATACAATAATAATGCTGATGATAATGATAATAATAAACTTCAAATAGGAAACAATTAAATACCCCGCTAGCGGTGCGCAAATGCGTTCCATTTGCCCCCACTGAGTGCCTCAAATTTTACCGATAGTCACGTGACATGTGCGACAGAAACCAGACGAACAGTAAATCACGTTAAGAATTAAAGAAATTTCGGCTATAAACTGATATTAATCAGCAGCTTTTTAATTGGTCAGATGTCACTGGGTTATAAAATGTTGTTAGAGTATGTTACCGCAACTTGTGACCCTCTCTGGTGCGATATTTGTGTATTATGCAATTATTTAGCGTGAAACGTAGGGGTCCGAGAGAGAACAGCCGATTTATGACACTTCGTTTGATGCGGGTCGGACTAACTTTGAATCGGCATAACTTTTTTAATAATCAAGCAATTAACATGCGGTTTAAAGCACATGAAAGGAAATTCATTTACGGAGGGAACCGTGTCAGGGATTTTTGTTTGCTCAATCAGCGACTTAATTATCTTTAATTACGTAATATGTATGGTGAAAAAAGTCGCATATTTTGTTTGACGTTACGTAATATTTTTTTGAGAAAAGATATAAAAAATTTGAGACACGGTTCCCCAGATAATATAAGTCTGGTTATTTTCCAAAAGTTTGATGACAAAAAAATAAAAAATGACTTTGATATGACGATTTAAAATTTTAGGATTTTTATTCAAAATCAATCATTTACAAAGGCATTTTTTTCAAATATGTTATTTTTTATGATGATCAACGACATTTAATGCACAAAGATTAAATGAATAACAATTATTACTAAAATAACTTCGTTTAAATGACATTTATGTGAGTACCACGGAAAGTGTCTGTTGTCACCTTAAATAGAATTCTACAGTGAATTTTCTGTTTGTAGACGTATATTATTAGCAAATAGCAACTAATAATATTTCTTTTCAAAAATAATCACTATGATGATTTAAATGCAATTTATTTGCATAATTTCTATACACAAGTTCTTAGATCTTCTTTCGCTCACTTTGAAAAATACGAAAGTGACTTGTAAATTATTAAATATGAAAATCAAATTTATACTAAAATTGCAGTTTGTAGACGTATATTATCAGAAATCTATAATATTTATTTTCAAAAATAATGATTATGATATTTAATCACCATTTATTTGACATAATTTCTATATTCAAGTTCAGCAATCTTCCTTTCGTTCACATAAAAAATACGAAAGTGACTTCTAAAATATCAAATATAGTGTTTAATTCAAATATAGTGTTGAATATCAAATTATTAATTTCTGATATTATATGTTTACAAACTGCAATTTAAGTACATTTTTCAATTAAAACTCTATATTTGATATTTTACAAGTCACTTTCGTATTTGTCAACGTAAGCGATAGGAAAATCGCTGATGTGTATTTACAAAAATTATGCAAAAAATGAGGTATAAAACTTTAAATCATCATAATCATTAATTTAGAAAATAAATAATATTAATTTCTTATAATACACGTCTACAAACTGCAGATATAGTACATTTTTAATTTAAACTCTATATTCAATACTTTACAAGTCACTTTCGTATTTTTATATGCAAGTGAAAGGAAGATTGCTGAACTTGTTTATAGAAATTAGGCCAATAAATGGCGTTTAAATCAGGATTATGGTTATTTATTATAATATTTATAATAAGTTGCTAATAATATACGTATACAAACAGCATTTTTACTGTAAAATTCTATAAAAACAGTACAATTCAAATTCTAAAAGTCACTTTCGCTCACTTTCGCTCACTTTCGTATTTTAGGCAAACCCAAAAAGTTGGAGCCAATGGCTCCAAAGTTGGAGCCAATAATTCTGCAAGGGAGACATGCCTATCTTTGCTAAGATATGCTAGCAGTTATATATCATTATGATTACAAACACATATTTATAATATTTCATTTTATTACAGCTGCACATGTTTATTATCTAAAATATAGACATACTATTATGTGGTTTTCAAATTCCATTTAAATAAATACACATGACGGCATAAATGTAATCAAAAACATCATGTTAAGTTAGTCATGGGAGGTCCTGTTTTCCACCATTTTGCCAGCATAGCAGTTCTTCTCACAGGCTGGACTGAGCCAAGATCTTTCCCAGCCTCTACACGACAATCTGGTGATCTACAGATACAAAATAAAAAAAACATCAACATTATTATAAATTGATTTGGGCGGCACGAAATACCCAAATATACCCAAATATTACCCAAATATACCCAAATATACCCAAATATTGCCCAAATATACCCAAATATAGGCCAAATACCACATATATATTAACTTGAAGTAAGATATGACTTAAATACAGCATGTACAATGACTTAAAATACGAGATTTTACTCGAACATGTTAAATAAATGCATAACACGAAACGGTGCGTGAAGAGTTTCAATCTGTGATAATCGCAAATATCACCTAGATTATTTCCCTTTCATAATAACAATCACAATTGTTCCTTACTCTTAATTCTTTTCAAACAAAAAAAAAAAACAGAAAAAAAACAGCATCCCTTAAAGTAAAAAACGTATAGTATTGAAATTAAAACATAAGACATTAAAATAAAAAAAGGTATTTTAAGGGGCATTTTAAGTCCCAGTTTCTATAAAATCTACAAAACATATTGCTAGGAGATGTTGTAGTTAATGTATACGTGATTTTTTTTATTATTATTTATTTATTTTTTTATACTTTACTCTTTTAAACTTAAAAAATTCACGATAAAACAAATTTTCATGTGATAACATGTAATATTGTTGATGGTGGATGTCGACGCTTTTGGAATAGGAAAAGGAAATTAATTTTGTTAGAAAACTTTAAATTTAGCTAGATGGAATTCTGATATTTTTAATTACGCGTATTTTGTTATATGACTGTACGGTTTAATTATATTACACTGAGTGAACAGAAGATGCAATATTTTCACAAGGGGCATAACCAAAACGCATGGAATAAATAGAAAATTTGTTGTTGTTTTTTTTAATGATCCTTGATGTAAAAGAATCGACAAGTAACGCAGCTATATATGTAGATTTATTATATTTATATTTAGGTCGTTATCCTTTTCATCATGGCCTTGCAATACCTTTTGACGTGACGTCATTTGCGTTATTTAGGAAATAGATAGAGGATATTGAATGACTCTAATGATGCGCTAATGATGTCACGGCCGTGCAATACCATTTTTACGGAGTCGCAAAATCAGCACGGGTGTGTGATAAGTTTCAATTCTGAATGCTTTGTTGTAGAATTATGAACTTGCACTAATTTTATATTCTATTTATCACATACCAAAAATACAGTCCGTTTAAAGTGAAAAAGAGTCATTTTTTTATTGACGCGCCTACAGTATAACGCTAACATTTAGCGCTTTTTAACACTATGTTTGTATAACGCAAATCACGTCACATCAAAATA